ATATATATATATATATATAGTATATATATATATATATATATATATATATATATATATATATATATTTTTTTTTTTTTTTTTTTCACGTATTGATTCACGGATGGAAAAATGTGATGACACTATATTCCGGGATATCATCCATTCGCTTGTTGAACTCCGATTGGAATCCTGCATCCGACTGGAATCCTGCAGACGTTTCGCCAAAATCTCACTTGGCATTTTCAATGCTCACGCTACGAAAACACCCGGAGTATAGTGTCATCACATTTTTCCATCCGTGAATCAATACGTGAAAATATCATACACCTTTAAGGGGAGGAGACCTTTACAGCCACCCCAGTGTTCGAAGTGTTTTCGGAGCGAGTGCATTGAAAATGCCAAGTGAGATTTTGGCGAAACGTCTGCAGGATTCCAGTCGGAGTTCAATATATATATATATATATATATATATATAGTATATATATATATATATATATATATATATATATATATATATATATATATATATAGTATATATATATATATATATATATATATATATATATATATATATATATATATATATATATATATATATATATATATATATATATATATATATTATATATATATATATATATATTATATATATATATTGAACTCCGACTGGAATCCTGCAGACGTTTCGCCAAAATCTCACTTGGCATTTTCAATGCACTATATATATATATATATATATATATATATATATATATATAATATATATATATATATATATATATATATATATATATATATATATATATATATATATATATATATATATATATATATATATATATATATATATATATATATGATGACACTATACTCCGGGATATCATCCGTTCGCTCGTTGAACTCCGACTGGAATCCTGCATCCGACTGGAAATCCTGCATCCGACTGGAATCCTGCAAATCCTGCGATCCGACTGGAATCCTGCAGACGTTTCGCCAAAATCTCACTTGGCATCTTCAATGCTCGCGCTCCGAAAACACTTCGAACACTGTTTTGTCCTGATTTTTTGGAATTTGACTGAAGGATTTCTAATTTCTTCCACAGTTTTTTTGACGTGATGTCCTTGTCTTTCTCAGTGCGCCATGATGTTAATAATTCTATGCGGTCCCACAGCAACTGATGGATCTTGTTGCTCAGTTTCAGGTGGAGTCTGAAAAGTTGTAGCTCAGTCTCACTAATTTCGTACCGGGTCCGCCTGATCTGGTCTTGGAGTAGGGCCTTGCTAGCTTTGTCCAGGATAGCTTGTGTCTTTCTGGTGCGTGTATGATAAGACAACCTTGTAAATGTTGGCAGCAAGTTCTGGTTGCGGCAGTTTTTAAGAAAATTCAAGTTGCACAGCGAAATAACCCTCCTTTGTCTTAGTTTTTCATAACACTTGGTGGCTGTAAAGGTCTCCTTCCCGTAAAGGTGTATGATATTCTCACGTATTGATTCACGGATGGAAAAATGTGATGACACTATACTCCGGGATATCATCCGTTCGCTCGTTGAACTCCGACTGGAATCCTGCATCCGACTGGAATCCTGCAAATCCTGCATCCGACTGGAATCCTGCAGACGTTTCGCCAAAATCTCACTTGGCATCTTCAATGCTCGCGCTCCGAGTGTTCGAAAATTTGCCTGATTTATTTTTGTTGCAATTAATTGGGCATGTCGAATTTAGTAGTCTTTTTCAGTAAAAGGTATCGGAGCGTTTAAATATATTCAAAACTGCCAAAGCTGGAAGGGTAAAATTCAATATATTGAGGTTTTGGAGCATGCATAATCCAAAAGTACTAACGGCAGATTTACCACTTTCACGTTACAAGTTAAAATTTTGTTATTTTAAATAGAATGTTGTAACCACTGAGCTACAGCAACCATTTTATTGTTATTTGTAATGAATTTTATCCTTCGAGCTATAGCAGTTTTGGAGACCTTTAAGCGACACCTTTTACTAACCCGGTATCTATAATTTAACACAATAAATAAGAACTAAAAGTTCAGATTTTCACGAAATTATATATTTTCACATGACAATTGTTTCGACAACACCGTGTCTTTATCAAATGTAATATTTACAAACTACCTGCTACTATATATACCGAAAATGGCAATAAAACCTTAATTAATGTTGTGAGAATTTAAGTTCAATAAAGGAGAGGAATTTAAATCTAATTGATCGTTAAGCAATACATTTGAATGTCTCATTTTGTTAATCTCCATGGCTTTCAATAAATTTAATTTTCTACTTTTTGTGTAAAATATCAAAATTGTCGTCAAAAATATGTTTATCTGTGTTTAAGTGTGTAGCATAATGAGAATCTAGACTATTGTTTTTAAACGCTCTTTTATTTTCTTTTAGTTTCTTGAAAGATCTACCTGTTTGTCCAATATAAACTTTAAGACAAGATCCGCGTTTCAAACTGTAGACACCTGATTTTTGAGATTTTGGACATTTCGTTTCATTGTTTTTTAAAAATTTTCCTATTGTGTTGTTAGTTCTGAAAGCCATTGTTTAACCAAATGACAAATGTTTTGAAACTTTTTTACTGCATTCTCCTATGTATGTAATTGTTTTAAATTGTTCGTGTTCTGTATTAGGTTTCGGATAAATAGAGCTTACTGTTGTCCGCATTTGTTTTTTATTTATAATTTTAGATGTAATGGACGGATTGTAGCCGTTGTTCAGTGCAATTTGTTTAATGATATTAAGTTCTTTGTTGTAATTTCCTGTTGAGAGTGACGCATTAAAAAGTCTGTGTATAAAAGAGTGAAATGCTGCCATTTTGTGTATATAAGGGTGATTTGAGCTGTTATGTATGACTGTGTCCGTGTGTGAAGATTTATGGAAAAATTTTATTTGATTTGCGTTTTCGTAATAGTTATTGAACTTAAATTCTCACAACCACATTAATTAAGATTTTATTGTCATTTTTCCGTATATATGGTAGCTGGTAGTTTGTAAATATTACAATTGATAAAGACACGGTGTTGTCAAAACAATTGTTATGTGAAAACATATAATTTAGTGAAAAACTGAGCTTTTAGTTCTTATTTATTTTTTTAAATAGATTTTCATCAAGTAAAAGCCACCTCAGTTCAATGTATAATTTACCTAAATCAAATTTGGTTCGATATACGCGATACAATATTTGCAACACAAATTGACAAACAAAAGCACCTTCGAATAACCACAATCCATGCTGAATCAGAAGAGGGATTTTTTCCAAACTAAATGAACTATTACAAATGCAGAAATGCACAAAATCCAATATCCACATCAACACATTGACCAGAAAAATCTCATAAATAAAAATTTATTTTTAACTACTCACATTTCTGAATTTAAAAGTATTCATTGGCTGAGCTAATATTTACCCGAAATTCTGGAAGTGTTTCAATATATTCGACAGGAACTTTAACCGAATAAGCTTCACTTTTCTTCATTGTTTTCGGTACCAAATCAGGTTTCATGTCTCTAAATTTTTTATAAACTCTAAAAACATTTTTAGGCATTATATGTTTGGCAGCTCTCGGAAGAATTACCTCAATATTTCTTTCCTAGTAAAAAAGGTGCAGTCCTAGAGAACATGTTATTTTATATTCCGACAATCAACATCATTTTAGTCCGCATAATTTACCTGATAATTTATTAATTGCTGTTCACTAAATGTCACCAGTTTATTTCCCATTGCGATTCATATTCTACATGCCTACGGCCCTATCATCTGGTGTCCATCGGACTCACTACTACCGCTAGGAATACAATCGCCTTGACAATTTAGGTGCGGTCATTTTAATTTATCAAATATATCGATCGTACATGTGAAACTAAAAAAAAACGACCGCCGCTACCTCCTGCTGACCACTTACACCCAGGCGTTCGCAGAACTAATTTTATATCTAATTGCAATCGTTTGTCTTTGTCTAGGTGTTCTAATTTCGCATAATACTGGGGACTCAAAACTGACACCAAATCATAAAGAAAAAAACAATTTTGGGGCAGTTGAAGCAAATTGACGCATTATTATATGTAGATTTGGCATATCTACAGTTTGGTGGAGACTTTTTGCATTTAATTTGCTTTTGCTTTTGCTACCTTTTGTGGGCTACTGTAAAATTACGAGAGGTGCCAAGTGCCAAGAGTGTGAATGAAGAGAATTTATTTAGTCTAAGAATGAAGAAATTAAATAGATGCAGGCGAAATTTATACGTTGCGGTTCTGATCAAGGGCTCTTTTAAAATATCAATTGGAAAAAGTACCATAATAGATTTAATCATATAGTATAATTGGTATATATGTATATAATTTGTATAATATAATAATAAATAATTTATTTTATTATATTTTTGCATATACTTAGTGTTGCTTGGGTAAACACAACTTCATTTTTTTTATATGAAAATACTCAATTAAGAAAACTTTCAAAAATCTTTTTTTTTTATATTTATATTATATATTAAAAATAAAGGTAAGTTTGTATAAGGTTGTCTATGTTGAAAATGTTTAGTTTGCGAAAGATCGACAAATTAATACTTTCTGAGATTTTCTGAGAAAAATTTGCCAAGCCGATTTCATTTTTGAGATGTAGGACGGACCTCTCTGAAAATGTTGCATTTTAAGATAGATCCCACGATTTTTCTACATGACAACTCATAGAAAAGGAAATAGCTGTTCCCTGACTTTTTACGAAGAATTCACTGACGCTCTCAGAATAAGTATACGGGGTTAACTCAAAAAGGTATCGATTTTTTTAAATAACTGTTTATGATTTTTATTTTGATTGAAAATAATCTGGACTTGTCTATAATAACTTTGTAATAAAATTAAGTATTTTCCATAATTACTTATATGTAATTATATGATTTTCAAATTAGTACGACTCTATTATTAATAACAGAAAATACCAATAACTTGGTGGCGAACTGGTGCATTTTTTATTAGATTTTTTTTTTCAAAATAAGAGCCCCAATTTAGCTAAGCGTTTTAGTTAACTCTTAATATTTTGGCACTGGATTCTTTAGTTGAAATATGTTCAATTATTAATAAAACAACCTGTCTGCCGAATGACAGTAAATTTCCAAATTTTTTAAACAATTTTTTAATTTGACGTTTTAAAAAGCGAGATATTCCCTACTTTAAAAATAAGAGGTTTTATTAAAGTTTTGAGAATTTTTTTATTAATATCACGCACTGTATGTTCAAATTCTACGAAACAACTTATTTAATTTTTACTCAAAATTTCCTTTCGAAAAAAATATTAAAAGAATCTACTAGTTATTTTATTTCCAAAAGCGGAAAAACTTGAACATCTTGACTTTATTTCTGTAAAATAAGGAAATTAAACAAAATAAATCTGTCTATTCGTTTCTAAGAACTTTTAAAATGAAATGAGTCGATTAAATTAGATATATTACCATATTTTATAAAATTATTAAACGCATTTTTTTGTATATAATAGTTAAAAACATAATTTTTCAAAGAAACTTCCACATGCTAGTGTAATACTTTTTACAAAACGTCAGGATTCCTCCTGCGTCGGTTTTTGCTGAGTCGAACTTGCTGACGTTTCGCCAATCATCCTGTTGGCTTCTTCAGAGCTTGACTGAAACTCGGTCGTATTTTACTCTGTACCTGCTTATATTTTATTTGAGGGGGGCGGAGCTAAATAAGGGGCATAAACACCGTCTCGGATGACTGATTCCCATATTGATGATAGGTAGAGACCTAAGTCGCGGTTCAGATTGTTAGGTTGTTTGTACATTTCTATAGACTCTCGGATTTTTCGTTGGTAGAAGAATAGATTACATGCAAGAATTTTAGTTTTATCGAATAAAATTTGATGTCGGGTTTCGTGATTGTGTTCGGTAGCAGCTGATGAGTTTATTTGTCTTATTTTTCGTCCGGTTTCTCCAATGTATTCTTTGCCGCATATGCATGGAATGCTGTAAACTCCTGGCATCTCAAATGGAATTTTATCTTTGACGAACCGAAAATGTTGAGAGATTTTTGGACAAGTGGTAAATCTGGTTTTGCAATGCAATGCAAGGAAGGTCCACAATGGCAAGGGCAGGATTGTTTTCGGCCTCATTGCTATTGGAAGGTTGTGGTGAAGTGTATTTTTTGATCGAACGCTTAATATCTTTAATGTAGAAATTATTAGAGAGAAGAGCAGAGGTAAGGTGTTATAATTCTAGGTTCAGTGACTCAGGTAAGAGAGAGTTGATAACTGATGATTTTTGGGCCGGATGGTGATGTGACCATGCATTAAGGTATCGGTCTGTGTGCGTAAGTTTTCTGTAAACACAATGACCCAATGTTAGGTCTGATTTTATATTGATAAGAATATCTAAGAATGGAGGGTTATTATTAGTTTCCAACTCAATGGTAAAACGTATGTTTGGATGTATAGAGTTTAAATGTCTAAGAAAATCTACTAGGGCTTCTTGACCATGAGGCCAATTAACAAAAGTGTCATCGACGTAGCGTTTCCATAATTTTGGTTTTATATGAAAGGTGTGGAAAGCTTTCTTCTCAAAGATTTCCAGAAATATATTCGCGATGACTGGTGATAGTGGAGAACCCATAGCTGTTCCTGACGTTTGTTCAAAAATTTGACTGTTATAAGAAAAATATGTTCCAGACAATCTAACGCAAAGTGTTTCAGTTTCAGTCAAGCTCTGAAGAAGCCAACAGGATGATTGGCGAAACGTCAGCAAGTTCGGCTCAGCAAAAACCGACGCAGGATTAATCCGGAAGTTTTGTAAAAAGTAGTTAAAAACATATTTTGCACAACCTATAAACTAAATACAATAGCTGACGGTCAATATGCCGGGCCTTGACAATAAATGCTCAATAGACAGGAGAAAGAAGACAAAAACACCCCTAACTCGTAACAACTTTGTTCGTTGACTGACGTAGTTTAATAATTCGTCAACGTCCGTTACACTCCAACGTAAATTATTGTATCTAGTAAATTAATTTAAATTCCATTGGCATCACAATGCCCTTGAAGCCAATTTAATACGTTGTTGTACAAACCTATTTACCCAATACCTATGCGTTTGACAAGTCCTATACAAGAACAAAGATGTGTTCTCAATAGCGAAATAATATAATTAGCCGACTAGTAACCAGTCGAGCAAGATGCAATAATAGGAAGATGTATTCGTTAATTATTCCGTACATTTAGCATAGGAGTTACAGGAAAACCGTTGATATTGAAAAAAACTTCAATTAAATAATTAAAACAACTTTCACTACATTCACTAGGAAAATTTCGATATAAAATTTTAATCTAACATTATATTACAAATACACATATACGTATATACAAACATAAATACAAAATATACATAAAATATAATTAATGGCTAATGGTGTGTCCACACACACCGATATAAATTATTAACGTGTAAGAATATACTCTCTATGGCTACGTGATTCACATTCAAGTGAATCTATTTCTCCGATTAGATATTCTAAAGGGTAGCTAGAGTACGTGTTTTGTTGTCATTTAAAATAAGCAACCAAAACAAAGTCCTCTTTTTAAGGGGTTCATTTAAAGTATAGCAAACTCCTAACACAAAAACGCTTTTGTACCAAGCACAATTCAGTCTCTATCTATAGAATGTATTTCAATTAATCCACAGAGTGACCAATTTTTCAATAACCAAAATAGTTATTAACAATATCTGAAAAAATAAAAAATAAAAAATTCTGTATACTACTCGGGAGTTATATAAAAATGTAAAGAATAAGTTACTTTAGTTATTATACATTTTTTCGAAATTTTCTCAGATCTGCTCTTACATCTTCCGATAATAAAAAAAATGAAAAAAATAAAACCAAAAAAATCGTTAACTGACACCAATTTGTGGACACCTATAAATTGGACATAAAATAACATGAGAGTCGCTTTTTTAAAGCCTAGTCTCTTAGTTAACCCATGCTTTAGAGAGCAAAATAAAAAAAATGTTACAAAAATTGATACACTGGTTTACCTAAATTAAAAATCTCTAGTTTTTACATGAAAAAATAAAATTCCATCACTTTGGATGTTCCAGTTTGCTGAGATCACAGTTGTTAGCCAAAAACAGATAAACGTGTAAAAAAAAATTCTTGCTTTTCCTTACTTCGTTTTCTAAAACTGGATGGAGTACATATTCAATATTGCAAAATAAAAAAAAAACATTCAGAATTTTAACGATCTTGAAGGTTCAATGTTTTTTTTTATACTGTTTCAGGTCACACTTTTATGCATGGATTTAAGATTATCACCGCAAACCGCCGAATCTACCTTTGAACCATTTTGTATTAGCTTTCTTTAGACATAGACACATAATTAAAAAAGTGTAGATCATAATTAACCTGGAAAAATTTTACATGTAATAGTTTCCAATATTGACTAATTTGAGCTTCCAACAATATACCCAAACATCATCTAGCTAGTTTATAAACTAGTCAAATAAACATTTCAGCCGTAACTTATATACAGTATGTCCCATTTTTAATGGTTTTACCCTTAGTAATAAAGCTTCCGTGTTGCGGCTTAGGTGACTCAACGCTACTTTTTCTGTTATAGCTATAGTGGATTTTTATATACGTGGTGGTTTTGAAAATGTTGTTATTTCAGAAACCCCTTTGTAGGTTGTAGATTATGAGTTGAAAATTGGTCTGTATTTAGGATCCACTGGCGTAGTCAGTTTTCTCCTGAAACTCACAAATTTTGTTACACAATCTGTGTTTTTTTTTAATGAACCACCCTGTAGGTATAGGATTGTTTTGAGCTTTTCAAAAATATGTTACACATAATAGGTGTTTCAAATACAAAGCATATATATATATATATATATATATATATATATATATATATATATATATATATATATATATATATATATATATATATATATATATATATATATATATATATATATATATATATATATATATAACTTTATGGAATAAAAGTGTCTTTTTCCCTAATATACTTTCGCTGTCAAAAAGTCATAATTATGTAATAAATACTACTTTTGTAATAAATTATGTAATTTATAGCCTACCCTTAAAAAAATATAAATATACATAAAAGATATATGCTTTGTAGTTGAAAAACTATGAGTGAGTAAAAAAAGCTTCAAAATCACCTTGTATCTAAAAATTCAAGTGTGGTTTTTCATTTCAAGAAAAGGTAGCCACCATGGACAAAAAAACAGTTCCCTCAAAAGATCGCAAGACCTGGTAAAACTTACCAATACCACAAAAATCACGTATAAGAGAAATTTGTGGTAGTGACGAGTCTACAAATGAACAGCTCCTGGGAAAAATCGATGTACTTGTTTTTCTTGGACTAGATGTAAAAAATGTGTCTATAGTCCAAGTCACACTTAGTGTGAGGATGGTATATCAATCCCAACCTGTGTTTCATGCAGAAAGATAATATCTATATCTGTATATAATAATAAACTAGAATAACATGCTAAAGAGTATCAGTGTTAGTTAAAAATTAGTATTAATGATTGAAATGAACAAATTCCCCTCTCCACCCCAAGAATATGAAATTTTTCATTTACTTCCTACCATTAATATGGAGTTAAAGAAATTCAAACAAGGACAAGCCCTCCATCCATTCTATTGCAAAAATTATGATTTTTAATATCGCTTGCTGCTTAGTGAATGATGAAGAGTTGAGTTTTTAGTACAGCTGTGTATTAGTAAAAAATAATTCTTGATATCAAAAAAGAAGCGGAAAATATGATCAATGTTGTAACAGTTTACTCAGAAAAAATTGCTCATAACGATTTTTTCCAACAACATTCTGAACACTTTCATTCCAGTTTATAAAATTATTCAAGGGGATAAAGAATTTCCAAGTTATTCTTTAAACACCTTATATAGATTAATAAAAAACGTACGTGACTTGGACTATAGAACACTTATAGAGTATTTGTCAAATTTCAGATCATGATATATTTAAATAAGTGTTTTTGGACAAAAGCTTTTTCTTTTCGCTTTAGGTTTAGTTTTAAGCGATTTTTTTAGTTTTAATGTTTGTTTTAAGAATAATGTTTGACTATTTCTGAAAAAATGTGTTTGTGTTTGTATCTTCTATATAATTTATAATAAATTCAAAACATCATATAAAAATTGTTGTTATAAATATACTAAATGTTAAATAAATGTAAATGTACTACAACATTTAAAATGTACTCGAAAGACACGTATTCAGAAAATCATGCAACTAATGAAGGGTGGTAGTAGTTTGGTTAGTTTGGTGTATGTGGTTTTTGGATAATCCCACCAGCTTTTGCAAAAAAGTGTCACATAACCTAACTGTTATTTCATAATTTTTGTTCATATCTTGCTATTTTTTGTACTCATCAACCATATTTAATTAGACATGAAATTCAAAGGTATAATAAAAAAAAGGATTTCTTTGCAGGTGCAAGTCATGGGACAAAGAAAAAATTATATCGGCAATAATGGCCAATTACCATAAAGTACTCTAGAAGGGTAAGTTAAAATGCCGAGAAATCCTGAAGATATAGTTGACTCGAGTTTGGGTAGGAACGATGTTTTTTCTCCGCTATGCTTGCAGATCATTGTTTGGAAATATAAAAAAAGTTTTTTGGCATGTTTAAAAAAGATGTTTGCAGATTAGCCTATGTAAAGCAACTCATATCAACATTGTGTTTAACGTAGCTTAAGAGTGTGCTGGGAAAACAATGGTTTTAGGGATTTCTTGCAAGGCATTCCAAGGGACATCATATGCGCTTTTTACCAGAGAGAATGTAAACAAAAATTTTGATTTTGACATGTAATTTCCAGGTACAAAAAAAGGATTTCTTTGCAGATGCCCAAGAAACGCAAGTCATGGGACCGAATAATTACCAAGGTACCAAATGCCGGGAAATCCTTAAGATAGAGTTAACTTGAGCTTGCCTAGGAAAGTTGGTTTTGCCTGGCAAATAGAATCTAAGCAAATCATCAACAATGTGTTTAACGTAGCTTAAGCGTTGATGATTTCTTGCAAGATGTCCCAAGGGATATCATATGGGCCTTTTAACAAAACATTTCAGGGACATACGCCGTAAAATATATTGTCTATATACAATGATGATTCGCAAGTGCCAGACGAGCCCAAAAGGTCCGGAAAAAATACAGCCAAGAATGATATCTAATTATTATAATAAAGAAAACAATACAACAGTGTCACGATATTATAAATATACAATAAGAAGTTGAGGTCAGATCATATCTCGAACGCATTCGGTATCGAGGTCCTGTATAAGACATCGCATGAAAGCCATCTCTTTACGAGCGTTGTCGAACATGGTGCGGGGATCACTAGCCATGCATCGTAAACAGTTTGGTGCAAATACCATAGCCAAGTTCGAAGCGTCCATTTTAGTAAGTTGAATGACTTCCGGTTTGTTAAACGTTTGTAAAAATCGTATCAAATAGCATAACACTAGCCTATGCAAAGTTGGCAAACGCAGAACTAAATCGCATGCGCGACGAGACGTCATGGGTTCGGCCACGCATTCGGGATAAAGGGAATCGGGAATTAGAGGTTCGTAAAGCTCCCTCAGCCACAGTTTTAGTAAATTCGCCGGAACGTGGGCGTCGCTGGGTTCGCTCAGTTCCCACCGATCCATTTGCCCTTTTAACCTGTTCACTTCGTCTACGTCGGCGGAGACGCGGAAAATTCCCTCCGTCGCATGTCCCTGATGCTTCAACACTTGTAACGATAGCTCCACTTGAGGCCACGGTAGTCTTCTACTCGGCCAACGTGTCGATTGTAGCTGCATCACTTCCCTTAGAGTGTTTCCGAACAAACTCGCCTGGAATATTTGTTTCCTTGCCGATTCGATATCGTCCATTTGGGGCCTGCGTGCTGTACGCTTTCCTCCGGCCCCTATCCGTTCTAACCGTTGACAGGCTACAGTCGCGTAATGATTCACCTAAGGCACGGTTATTTCGATATAATTCGCTGGAACGACAGCTTTTTTCTACATTCTTCAATTTTTTATAATATATCATGCGTTTTAGCAGTTTTGCATATTCCAAAAATGATTAAAATTGTAGCCCTGGCAATGCAACACGTTTAAAATACCCCTACAACTAATTACCCAGTCGTGCCAATGGCTACAACTAATAATACCAAAAGTAAAATAGATATATTTAATACATTCAAATTAGTAAAAAATTTATTCTATAACGGATACCAATCTCTCTCTGACGAACTACCTTTTTAGGCATATGGTAAACAGTTGTCGTTAGATTTTAAGCTAGTAATAAGCCTGCAAGTCGAACTAATAAATAAAACATCAAAATAACGGTGCAAGTCAAAAGATCGGAAGAAACGTGAAATGTATAAATGTATATGCATTTTAAATACAATCAATATCAAATAAATACAATAAAATACAGTCCGGCAAAAGTCTCCGTACACATAGTATTTTTTCAGTTTCTTTTAGTTTCTTCTTTCACTTACATTTAATGAGAAATATATTTCAAGTAAATGTCGGCAATCTCATTAATCATTTGAAACCCTTCATTTAAACGATAAAAAATAAGGCAGTTTTAGAAGCAAATAAGTCTCCGTACACAATCATTTCTTATGATAAATTGAAAAGTTTCTTAAAGTCTAATATTTTCTACAACTGCCATTTACTTAATAATGGCATTAACTCTTTTTGGAAGACTTAAAAATAAGCTTTCCTGTAACTTCTGGCAACATCTTTTCCCACTCTTCTCTTATCCTATTTTTGAGGTCTTTTTTACTCGTAACTTGATGTTTTTTCACTCGTCGCTTTAATTCTTCAGATGCTCGATGGGGTAACATCCAGAGATTGTGGTGGTGTATAAATTTGTTGGCGGACATTATGGATCATCCAGTGATGTACAGCGTACACAATTTCTTCTCGGGCAGTTAACTCCCTAACTAACGGTGGATTTCTATTGATTTATTACATACTGTACAGCTGAATGTGATTTTTTAATTATTTTACCAATACCTCTAAACGATTTTTTCTCTTTCCAACACCTACCATGATTTTTCGAAGCGCAATTGTAATTTCGCAATTTTTAGCGCTCATTTTGCTTTTACTTCAAAACCACTGACTTAAAAGTGGCGTCAAAAATAAACAGGTATAACTCATTTGTTTAACTGAATTTTAATACAAGCTGACTTGATAAAATATTGATAATTAACGGTTCAACCTGCAGTTCTGAATAGTGATTTATTAAAGTGTATGGAGACTTATTTGGCATAGTTTCTTGCTTCCAAAACTGCCTTATTATTTATCCTTCAAATAAAGTCTATTACTCTTAATGAGATTGCCGATATTTACTTGAAATATATTTCTCATTAATGTAAGTGAAAGAAGAACCTAAAAAAATACTATTTTAAGACTTTTTTGACCGTCTGTATATATATATTTAATACATTAAAATTAGTAAAAAAACTATTCCACGAATATGAATATTATTGATTTATTTTAATTGATGTATCTCTTTCTGACAGAGTAAATTTTTAGCCATGTGGTAAGCAGATGTAGTTTTGACTAACATCAATCAATCAGAATTGCGTCTACAAACAAATAAATACTTTGGATTTTGAGAGAAGCAATATGTTAAAAAAAAACACCTTGTAAGAGTTTAATTTATACCTATTACTTAAGGTCTATAATTTAAATAATGTTATGAGTAAAAACAAACTAAAAATGTAAAAAATTTACGAATATCTTTTTGGCTTAAAAAATTATAGGTGTGCAAATAAAAATGATGATGATGAAAGTGATTTAAATACAAATGCATTTTTGAAGGTACTTGCGATAGTATAAAGATAAAACGTCATGTTTGAAAATAGTGCTAGTTTTTCTCTAGCAATGACTTGCTTGTTAATAAAACTAGGCAAAGCTTTTATTAGGTACAAAACTTATTACATATCCAATGGCAGTAGACTTTTTTAAATCTGTTTTGTGTACGCCAATAAATTGTACAAAAAACGGGCATAAAAATCGCTTTTTCAATGTTCAAAAATACTCCTGAAAGACTAAATCAAACATTAACCTTAAAATCACCATATAAGTTCCAACTTTATGGAAATATCCCAATATGCATTGCCCTATTAAATTTCTCATCAAAATTAGACATGTGTTTCTTTAATGGTTGCCGAAATCGCCAATAGAAAAAAGGTCATTTGGAATGTACTGTGCATGTGATAGAGTCACTTCATTAAGAAATATATTTTTCGCTAAACTATGTAGATATTTTTCTACTTTCTGTGAGGTGTTACATTTATTGAAATGGCTCAAATTCATTTTGCTTTGAAAACCTTAGATTGTAGAATTAATTTGACATACACAATATACCAAATTATGTAAAAAATGATATTGTATTGTATTGTATTATCGTAATTAAAGTCAGCGCCAATTAGGGCTAAAAAATATCTCATTCTAGTGTGATTTCATGTGCTCAGTTTGAACCTCAAATTTCACCCAAAAAGTTAGATTATATGTGCTCGAAAAAAATCCTAGGGGTAAACTGCAAAGGGAAGGGTGGGAATTCCTTGAAATTGTGCTGGAATTCCTAGGAATCCTTCATACTATACAACTCAAAAATCGCAGTATGTTATGTTTTCAAGAAGCAAACTCAAAAGGAAGTACTATCTAATATAAAAGGCAGAAATACAGCAAACAAGTTTGATAGTAGACACTTACTTGAACGTGAATGGGCCACCGGTTAACATCAGGAAAAACACGCGAGAATGTAGGGTCCCTATGACGATTAAGGTACCCCAATAAAGCTGGTTGAAAAACAGGACTAGGTGGTATAAAAGCTAAAGCGATGGTCAATAATTCCCATCCGCGTAAAAGAGATTCCCTCCTCGGATTTTCGGTCGTTTGCTTACATAATTGGACAAACAATTCGTCTCTCAACAAGGACTGAGCGTGTCCAATTCCCAAAATTTCCATTAAAAGCGAATTTAATGAAACTCCAGGTCTTGCTTTCCTATCTCCCATATACATTTGAACTTGCCTAAACATTTCTAAAGCTTGCTTATACACTGGTTTGCTTGATGCTAATAGAGGTCTCTGTAGACTTCTTTGAGTCCAACTAAGTAAATCACGAACACTTGCTTTCCTTCTAAATAAACCACGTCCTCCAAGATTTAAATTATCAGCGGCAAATTTCTCCATATCTGCTTCCCGCTCTGGTTGCAGTGGAGGCTCAGCTAAAGGTTTCAAGTGTGGAATGGATGGACACACATCTCTATCCCTGTCTCTGGGCTCTGTATTAACACCAGTAGGCAAATTCAGATATTCTACTGGTCTATGAGACAATCGGTGAGGTAAATAGCTGCCTTCTGACTGATCAGAGTCTTCATTATCTGGTTCATGACCTGCAATCGGAAAACTGCTTAGCACCTCATAGTTGACATTATGCTGTGTTAGATTTTATAGAAATAGTTGAACCATACACTTACCAGTAAGAGATTCACTTCCACTGTCTGAATGGTCACTGTCTGATTCCCTGCCATTATTTAGTAAGAAATGTTCCAGTGGTAACAAATGAGAATCATGCCAATTGGAATACAATGGGGCTTCAGCTGCTCTTTGACTAAAACTACTACTTCGGCATAAATCACTGGGTCTGCGTCGTAACTGTGGAGTACTGGCTGATAAACTTAAAGCTTGGCCCCTCTCAACATGGTGACCAGTCTGAGTAGCCTGATTGCTAGTTGCTGCTGGGCTGCAGTCAGTGTTGTGTTTTAGAGTTTGTAATTTGGCAAGAGGAATAATATCGCAGTTTGTAGGTTTATGCCATACAGTTCTTTGTGATGTTGCATTATAGTAATAAAATCGGGCGGTATTTTGATCAAAAAGCTCCCACCATTGATTTGAATCAGTTCGTTTGACAGGTACACCTTCTGGAGGATCCCAGACACATTCACCAGTGGCCAAATTGGCATACATATGCTCTTGAGTCTTCGGCTCTATTATTTCTACCCATTCCACCCTAGAATGCAAAAATACAGCAAGGGTGTGACGTTAAATATTGATTAAAGGAATACCTGTATGAATTAGAAGCCATGTTTTACATATTCAGGAAACTTAACACTAAATTTGTTGATATGTCAATACGTCATTTTAATAGAGATTTATTGTCAGAGTAACCCCCAATCATGTTAACCAGACTGAGGATTTTTACAAAACCATAACAAAAATAAATATTGTATCAATACCATACTACTCCGTCAGCGCCATTGTTTTCAACTGCTACCAACCACTTTCTGGTGCAATGCTGCCAATAGTCTAATTACCCCATGCTACATATATGATTCAAGAATAAAGTCTTTCTAACATATCAACTATAGGCAAAATTAATGTTTAACAAATTTATGAAAACTAAATTAGAGGATTCTTTGATAAGAATCATATCAGTTTGGATTTAATTACAATTATTGACACTACACTTTAGTTCTCAGAATAAACAACTTGGCATTCTAAAACTGAAACAAAAGCTGTGTCTATAATCCCCTTTTAAAAGGTCAGTATTCTTGTAAGTTAGTAAACATACTATATAATGGCGAATTCGCCAGTACAACTACCAATGTAACTGAATTTTCTCAGAATCTCTTCTGGAAATAAATGTATTACCAAATTTCCTTTGTGTAAAAATTGGTTAGCCGTTTCTTTCACAGACCGCCGCAAATTGTTAACGGTAAAAAATTATCAGTTAGAAAACAATGTTCGGATACAAGATCGAAATCTTGGATGTAGAAATGGTAACTTAAAATTATATAAAATGGGCCGATCCCAGCGGTACTGCAATGCCGAGCCAACCCGCGATGGAGGTGGAGCAAGCCCCTAAAAATCTCCATCAATTTCCAAAAATCAGTTTAATATACTGGCCCCGCATGCGGGGCGTATCAGATATTAAGCTGATAAGAACAGATACTACACTTTGATCTTAGCCAAAAGGCCGAGAAGCGATAACTTTATCCGATAAACATGAACATTTAACATGAAAGAGCTGATAGAAAACAGTGACCACAAAACCCGCGACACCTAGCGGATAGTCATACAAACCACCCTTACTGCCGTATGTTGTTTCGAAACTTCCATTTTTATGCCATCTAACCATTTCGGTGCTTAAATATTGAATATTATTTTCATCGTTCTTTACAAAAATTTATTGAACTTCTGAATTTGCAGAAAAATAAACACGAAACAGCTAAATGTTTTTAAAAAATGAAAAGTTACTACTTTGGGAACCCCTCTTGACCATTTGTTGAAACGATATATTTCAAAAGAGTTACACTTTTTTTTTAATTTGACATTGTGCGATATTTTTGAAGTACACCGTTAACTGATCAACTATTTTATAAGAAAAAAATGGTGAATTCGCCAGTATTTGAAAATCCCTCTAACTGGAAATATTGTGCTCGAAATTTCAATTTACTACGTCGAAAATCTTTGAAAATCACTGTTGTGTTGTAGAAGAAGTTACCTTAAAATTGCTTTAATAGCTTTAAAATCCAAAAGCGACACCAAATATTTTAATAAAAATGGTAATAATTAAGTAAATGTACAGAGTGAGATAAAATACATACTTTTAAAGAGGAATTCCCCTTTCTAAAGGCGATTAAAAAATTTTGTATTTATGAGAAAATATTTCACAATTTTATGTAGAATTTAATGAAACAAATATAGTATAGAATATTTTTGAATCATATAGCATTAGATGTTTTGCTCAAGTGGTCTAAAAATATGGACATTCAAACATTTTGACAGTCAAGCCATAATACAGGAAACAAATAAATTCTGGTAGTCGCCACAATGTAAATTTGACTGTTGGTACTGCGAATTTTGATTTACTGTTTTAAATACTTTCAATTTATCGATAAAAAAAATTAACACCTAATTAAAATCATGAAGTTAGGGAAACAGCATTCCCAAAGTATTGTTCTTTATTTAAATATTTAATTATTTTTAGCACATATATGTTATAGCCAACATCATCAAGAATCTTGTACCAAAAGTATAAATATTTCGATATGCCAAGAAATAAAATTGAGAAGCCGTGATTAAAGAGACATCTGGAAAATTTGTTCAGAAAACGCAATGGACTCGTATCTTTAAAAAAATGGATGGTTGGGGGAAGATTGACAAAATAAATGGCAATAGGTATCATATATACAGCAACACAAGCAAAAACTTTAAGAAAAAGGAGTGTCAAACGAAGTATTTTGGGAGCAGAAACTTAACTGGGGATTATTAGGAAAATAGTAAAAAGTATAAAAAAATCATGCCAACAATTCTGCAAATTTCGAAATGTTATTTCGGGATCAAAAAGAGCTAAATACGAAAAACTGATTAGCTAACACCTACAATTTGCCACTAAGCGGTATTTTAAACAAAAATTTTAATCGACAAAAATATACAGTGTGTTTTGCTAAGAACCGATGCAGAGAACGATAATTTTCAGAAAACTTAAAGCGCCGATAACGGCATTATACAAAATAATCAAAACTAATATATAGATAACACAGAATATTTAAAATTAACAGTTAAAATTAGTAATTCCAGCGGTTTGGAAGACACTTTTATCATTTTTTTCATTATTTAAATTACTTGTTTTTTTTAATTAATATTTTGGTCAAAAAGGATCTTTAAAACTATTATGCATTTCCAGACGTATGTTCTTACCAGCCTATGAATAACATAAGTATCTAGTGACCCTTACACCTTAAGTTGATTATATTAACCTTTGACATTTCGTTAAACAAAATTGTAGTATATATTTTTTACCCATTTAAAATAAGGTGGTAGACAATATTTCCAAAAAAATCAAGACAATACAAAGCAGGTGACAGCTCTCAGTTCTGCAGTTCTGACACTTTCCAATACCCTTTATGGGATAGCATAAATTTACAGTCTTCCATTAGTTTTGATTCTTTATCCAAGTATAGAGTTATCTCAACTTTCTTTTAAATAGCATAATGTTAAAACCCAGATGGATAATTGAATCCAAAACATTTATTTAACTTAAGAACTAACATCGCTTAATATAATAAATAAATTTCGACAAAAATTTAAATTCCAAAATCAACTGTGAGGTAGCTGCCTTTTTTTGTTAATATGTTACCATACTTCTTTTGGTGAATCATAATCTAAAGTATCAATATCTGTTCTTGACTTTTTGTTATTATTTGTTTTTTCTTTATTTTTTTTTAATCAAACATCTTTCTCCTCAATCATTTTCTCTGTCCTTTCTACTTTTGTCTCACTTTAGGTCTGTCCCAACAATCTATGAGAGTGGACCACTTATTATCGAGAAAGTTCATTCCTATTACGAAACTCTAGGTACTCTGGATTTAAAAGTTTTGGATATATCTACCGGAATTAGCCTCTTTAATATTATTCATAACAACTTGCAGTGTTCTAACAATTACAGAAATATAATTAAAACACATACTTTGAAATAAAAAATGAAATTTTTGACTTTCAAATATTAATTAAACATATGCTGACAGTGTCCTTCACAACAATTATGAGAATAAATAGGATATTTTTATTATTATCTTGACTTTAGAGTATTAAACTTGAATCGTCTAAAATTTTGGGACACTTTTCCACCATCACAAATTTAACGTTTATAGCGGATAATAAATACGAAAAAAAAACGCGCAAAAAGTACAACTTTCAACCATATCATCCATACCACCAGTTTTAATCTGAACTGTACAGAACTTATGGTCAGAATTGTATTGTATTGTATTGTATTCAGTATTGTGTTAAATAAGATATTTCATTTTGATTTAATGCAACTTGAGAAAATAGTGCACAAGGACCCAGAAACTTGGAGATTCTTCTATCCTATAAAATCAAATTCGAAAATGAAAATAATATACTTCCTATGACGTACCATTTATGTTTCACGTAAAATTTCTTATTGCTTATTTGAATAGTTACACTAGTTATTTTAAAGTTGACGAAATAATGTTTCAGAATTTTAGAATTTAATAATAGTACGCAGTGTTTTCTTTTTCGATATCGACAAATGATCCGCGAATAAATATCCTATACGAAACAAAAGTGTGAGAGACTTCAGGAAGAGCAAATTAATTCAACGTCTATGCTATCCAGCTTATCTTCTATGTTAACGGACATTGTATTGTATTGTAATTAGTATGATGATGAATTTAATTTTAATGCAACTTGAAAAAATGAGACACAAGAAGTAAGAAGACTGGAAATTCTTGTATTTCATAAAAACGAATCATTCCTGAAAGTCGGTAAAAAATGAAAATTATACATAAATTTTATTGTTGTCTTTACCTGTTAAAAGGCAAAATACTTTACAATTTAATCACGAAAAATATTTAAAAAAAATACAAATATTCGTGGATATCAATATAAACAATCAAAAAAACATTTGCATTCCTTATACAAGCTATATCATAATAATGAAAAATCTTTCTCATTTTGAAAAACATATTGTTCAAAATTTTTGATTTGATTAATTTTCTTTTAAGACACCTTGAGAATACGAGGCACAACAACTAAGAAAATTAGAGATTCTTCTATTCTATAATACTAATAATTTCTTCAGAAAAAGTATTGTGGCTTTCTATTTAACTTACGTAACATAAATTTTTATACTTTATTATTATTTTATCATTATTATTATATTTATTATTCAAAAAGCAAAGAAAAGGAGCTTTTAAATAACCAAAATCTCTACAATGTACAATTATAATACTAATATAATTATATATTATAATAAAAAATCGGTTTTATTATGAAAAATACATAGTTTTACCTTTTCTAGTAATTAAGGATAAGTCGTTTTAAGAATCTACTGATAATTTGTTGATCAATTTAGGTACTTTATAGGAAAAATATCTTTGAAATTATGTCGCAACTGGTTTTTTCTTGTGTCACTAGTATTTAGCTTCCTAAAAGAACTTTTAAGACAAATCGCACTAATGTTTCGTAAGCAAGATTGAGGTGGTGAAAAATTGAAACCTCAAATATTTCAGTGTATAACGTGACTGATACTATCATATCCAGTGTGACTAAAATCTGAAGCAATTATTCTGAACTTTCTGAGGTCTGTCGAAACTAAATAAGCACATAATAACCTGGACATAATTAATGACTTACAAAGTGAGATAATTTAAGGCTCGAACTCATTATTTCACGATTCGGGTAGAGTTTCTTAAGCAATTGACATATTTTCCAAATCTTATGTTAGTATTCATCCGTAGGCCCAGATTTTTTGCTTCTTGTTTTAAACTCTAGGTCAACCTGATTCATTATTAAGTTTAGATTATGCTGACATAATTTACCCGATTTTGAACTCCTAACATGTTTAAGGTTGTGAGCTATAAAGAATTTAAGTCCTTTAGAGTAAAGCAGTTGAGAGCAATTATCGTGATTATTAAAAGCACACAAATCTTTGCTGTAATGTAGCAGAATAAGACAAGATAATTTATTTCGAACAGTCTTATAAAGCAAGTAATGAGTTACTTTCGTAAACGCAGTAACAGTTGCCGAATACATTTACACTCGTTATTTTGAGATAGAAAAAATAAAGTTTTTGAATTTAAATTTTTCGAAATGGGCCAGTAACCCGGGAATTAATATCCCATACGAAACAAAAGTGAGAAAGATTTCAGGCAGAGTAAATTCAATGCGGTACAGACGAGCGTTCGATCGAGAGAGAGCAGGTGAGAGCACCCAGAAAGCGAACTGAAATAAAATATAAAACAACAAAATTAATGACGTGATTATAGGTTTTCAGCAAGAGGATCCTCCTATCAAGCTTTGGTTGGGTGGGAGGTACCAAAATCCACGTGCTGCGCGCGCATGGGGTGGGCTTACAAAACGTGCTCGGGATTGTAGCGGGGGAAAACTCATATCAGTTTCTTTCGCGTAGTCGAACGAAATGCTGACGGATCGCGTATAATTTTTTTTCCCGCGTTCTCGACTCATTTTCGCTAAGTTATCAGGTAATTTTTGATACACATTTTGCAGTGATTGCCGCGAAATGAAATGTTGCTGAGTTGTTGTGAAGTTTTTGCGGTTTTGCTGGTGACCTAGAGAGTGATGAAGTCGAGCCTTTCACTTGGAACGGCAGCCCATAACCAAAATTGTAAAAGTTGATTTTGGATAGGGTGAAATTTGTTTAAAACGATTAAAAACGCAGTGGCAATTTTAGGAAGCATGTGATTTTTTCTTATACCAAACAAATTAAAATTAACTAATTTTTGATTACATTTTGGGACTTGATTTGGTTCAAAATTTCCCCACCAAAGCGCTATTTATTATTATATGAAATTTCACTTTGACGACAAATTTCCTACGGGCCAATTTCAAAATTTGTATAATAACAATGTTAAGTTAAGTTTGTGGAATAACTGGGTAAGGGTACCCGTTCCCCACAATTAAATCAGTCCTAGAATCTTGTAAAAAGTTTGTAGAATTTCATGGCGTAAAAATATTTTGAACTTCTAAAATAGTAATTGTTCAACATAAATCACTATGTAAAATTATGTAAGATTAGATTAGAATTAGATTAGATGCAAAATATACCTATGGGGTTCCATATTGCATAGATATTTGACAACTTTTACCAATAGACGATATTTTCAAAAATAAAGGTAATTTAAGGCTCAACAATCTTTGATGTTTGTATTTCAAGTTTTTTTGAATTAATTGTATTGGAACTTTTTACAAAGATTTTTTTTATTAATAAACTAAGATTGATGCCGATTTAATTGGATACACTTTATATAAATAAAAAAAATCTAAAAAATGAGAAAAAAGTGATAGATAAGTCGACTCTTTCAATTCTAACGGCCACCTATGACAAAAATTGCAAAAATTTGATTTTAGATAGGGTAAAATTTGTTTAAAACGCTACAAAAGCGTTCACTCAAGGATAACAAACGCTAGACAGATAATAAAAACGCAGTGGAAGTTTTAGAAAAAATACGATTTTTTCTTATACCTAACAAATTAAAATGAAGTAATGTTTTACTACATTTTGGCACTTGATGCGGTTCAAAATTTCCTCACGAAAGCGCATCTATTTCATATTTTTGGGATATAAAATTTCACTTTGAAGACAAATTTCTTCCCCGCCGCTTTCAAAATTTGTATAATAACAATTTTAAACTGCGTGTGTGAAATAATTGAGGAAGAATCTTCTAAGTAAAAAGTTTGAACTTTGAAAATCTAGTGGCATTTTATTACTTAAAAATTAAACTTCTAAAATCGTAATCGATCAACAGAAATCACTATGTAAAATTAAATATGGAAAAAAAATACCTATGGGGTTCCATACTGCATAAATATTTGACAATAGTTTTCCATTAGAACCAACTTTTGCCAATGGACGATATTTTCAAAAATAAAGGTAGTTTACGGCTCAACAAATTTTACATCTGATTATTGTATTTCAAGTTTTTTGTATTAGTTGTATTAGGATATTTTATGAAGAATATTTTTTATTAATAAACTAAGAATGAAAAGTTTCCCACATACTGTCTATTTAATTGGATACACTTTATATAAACAAAAATATATTTTTTAAAATGAAAAAAATGAAGAAGGGATTCAAAAAAGTGATACTTGGAACGGCCGCCGATAACCAACATTGAAAAATCTTGATATTGGATAGGATGAAATTTGTATAAAACTAAAGTAAAAGAAACGCTAGACAGGAAAGGATGTAAAATGATAATAAAAGTATGTACCGTTTTAGGAAAAATACCGATTAAATAAATTAAGAAAATTATTTTTTTTTTTTCATATTTGGCTATTAAGTTGATTCAAATTTCCCTACCAAAGGCCTTTATTTATTATTCTTTGGATGTGAAATATCACTTTAATGTCAAATTTCCGCCTCGCTGCACCCAAAATTTGTATAAGAATGTTAAATTAAATTTGTCAAATAATTTTGTAAATGCACCTGTTCTCGACAATTTACCCAATCCTAAAAATCAAATAAACAATATGAATGTGGAAAATGTAGTACGATTTTATTGCCCAAAAGGTTTTAGACTTCTTAAATTGCAATTGTTCAACAGAAATCACTATGTAACATTACATATGCAAAAAGGGATATATTAACCTATAGCCATTTGCAGTCTGAAATCTTCAGTGTGCAAACCTCAAAGATAATACAGATATCTCACAATGGTTTTCCATTATAAACAATTTTTAATAATGCTAGATATTTTCAAAAATAAAGGTACTCTACTACAGATTTTTCCTATTCGTGACAAACAGAAATTAAGAAATTTTTGATTACATTTTGGCAGACTTCATTTGGTTCAAAATTTCCCCACCAAAATGCATCTGTTTATTATTTTTAGGAGGCGCTTTCAAAATTTGCATTATAAGAAATTAAAATTAAATTTGTGAAATAATAGGGCACGACTAGAATCTCATAAATAGCATGAAATTAGATTTGATAAAAGTGTTTTACTTTAGTCAAGTTGCGCAGTCTAAATTTATTATAGTTATATTTAGAAAAATGTCAGATAGATAATACTGCATGGATAGCTCAAAATGCTCGATATTTTAATTACACTTTCATAAAATTCATATTTTTCTACAAACGTTGGATACTGCTCAATAAATTTTATATGTGGTGTTTGCATTTTAATTTTTATACCATATAGAAGTTTTAATGTGGACTATAAAATGTAAAAAATATAAAAGTATAAAAGTAATTGAGGAACGGATTCAAAAAAATGTATTAACAGTGCTAAAACATTAATGGAATTAGAATAAAATATTCTAATCGACGTCTACTATCCTAAAAGGATTGTTACTAATTTTTAGGAGCACAATATTAATATTCGTCTTTAATAATTGTCAAATCCCCTGTTAACGAAGGATTATCAGCCACTGCAAAATTAGTTTTAAAAACAATAATAATAAAAAAATTGAATTGCAGAAGAGAAATATCGCCAGTAGTAATTTTCTATCCATAGAAAATAATCCGGATTGTATAGGGTGGGCCGTTTATCTTTAGACACTACCTTATCTCAGAAACTATAAGGGATGGAAAAAAAATTAAATACAAAAGTTAATTGGGGTATTCCAAACCTTTGTTTAATGTTGTATATACAGGGTATTTCATTTTTCGTTAGTGAGTATCAACTTTCTTATTTTAGATGGAACGCCTAGTATATTACTTCATTTTTGAATTCTATAAAAAATTCTAGACATATTTTGTGTATAATGTCCTATACCTAAGTCTAATCGTTTCTGACATTTTTAATTTTTTATGAGAAAAAATGACGCTTACAAGACCTAAAATATCTGCCAATGTCTTCATTCGGAAGCATTTATTGTTTCACTTGACTAAGTTTTGTTGTTGACAAAGGACTCGAATAACGGATTTCATAAGAAATTTTGGTACATATTAATACAGGGTACGCGAAAAATAAGATTGATTTAATATTTTTACTTTTTGAGATATTTCCTTTTAAACATTTGTCACAAATAATATGCTGTTGCCATGTAAGTTCAGTTAGTGTAAGGTGGCTATGACGGCGTTTAAACAAAATAAGTGCTAGAATGCGGCTTGCGTATTATGTTTACCACAGAGGAAAATATTGATATGTTAGAAAGTTACTGGCTCTTAGAGATTATATAACAAAATTTCCATTAAGGAGGCGCCCAGAAAAGAAGATCTTCGACAGAATTTAGGAACACTTTAGAATATATGGAACTTTGAAGAAAGAAAGAGATAGACGTCGTCATATTTTGAATAATGAAGAGCAACATAATATTTTATTGCATTTGCTAAATATGAAAAGATTACAAAAATGCGTGGTTGCCATTTAAAAAAAAAGTTTTTTGGCAGTTTTTTTAAATTTCATTTTTAATCTTATTTTTCGCGTATCCTGTATTAATATGTATGGAAATTTCTTATGAAATCCCTTATTCCTGTCCTTCGTCGACAACAAAACTTCCTCAAGTGGAACAATAAATGCTTCCGCAAAAATTTGCAGATATTTGTCTTGCAAACGTCATTTTTTCTCATAAAAAATTAAAAATGTCAAAACCTGTTAGACCTAGATTTAGGACATTATACACAAAATATGTTCAGAATTTTGTACAGAATTCAAAAATTCAAAAGTAGTATAATTTAATGAGAAAGTTGAGACTGGCCCACGAAAAATGAAAAATCCTGTATATACAAAATTAAAACAAATGAAAGGTTTGTAATACCCCAATTAACTTTTGAATTTAACTATATCTGTGCCAACAACAATATTTTCTTAGGTCACTAAAAGATTTTTCCGACTGCCTATTTAAGATTATAAAAAAGTCAAAGCCGTGATTCGATTTAGGCATATACTGAGTTTTTTGTATTCTGTCTCTCTTTCAGCCATGGAGAACTCGGCATATGTTCCTAATTCCGGGCATTTAAATTCGCCCGCTTTGGTAGTATTCTCGCAAGCCACTGGCGGTTTGCAAGAAGCCCTACGCATCCAAAGGCCCTTCAATCCGCAGGTTAGTATTATGCCATTATGTTCCACTAAGTGTTTTATGAGCTGAACTCAAAATCTATATCTAACGATTTAACTATATATTATATGGAACAAAAGCTTCTATAAACATAGGCCCCAAATTTACAGGTTTTAAAATGCAGTGATAAAGTTATATACAATTTTGTGTTAAATATAAGTTGTTATTAGGAACAATAAAAAATCGACTTACCATGATATTGAGTTGCCGAATTATCAGCAAAACTCCATTTTTTATGCAACTTTAAAACTCATTTTAAAAATTGAGCGTTTTGTACCTACTATTTCCGAGCTTAAACCAAATAATCAAATCTCGTAATGTATTTAGGGACATATAAAGCCTTTTTAATAAATACAGCATCTTATTGGGTAAATATTATTCCAAACGAATATTTAAAAAACTGTATTAGCTATTGCCATTGATAAAAACATATCATACAAAATGAAGCGAAAAATAACTATACAAATACAAATTTAAAAAAAAATCTTTAAAAAAAATCTCCATGGTGGTTTATTAATATAAATAGTTGCTGAAGCCTTTTGTTCTTGCAAAGTTTTTGTTTACATATTTATTTTATAAATATGTTGTTTCGTTTGTTGCGATTTTCAGAGTCTTGAGACTATGAAAAAAATTTGCTGCTACACGTTTCATGCTCAAAACTTCAACAATAGAGATGCCTACGTCTTCAACCACTTCTCTGATGATTTTTTCAACACCATTTGTTTCATTTCTTCACTGATTTCATCAGTTATTGACCTGCTGGGCGTCCAGAGCAAGGTTCTTCATCGGCGTCTTCTTGAAACAGCTTGTACCACTTATAATTTTTTTTTCCCACAAATTAGATTCACCATATTGTGTTGTCAACATTTCAAGTGTTTTGTAGCACTGTTTTCCCTTTTTTTACACAAAATTTGATGAAAATCCTTTATTCCATTTTTTTTATATTCATTTTATTTTGTGTTAATGATTTTTATTTCTTTTTTTAATGTGTGAATTTTTCACTAAACCGTAAACATTTTGTAAGACAATAATTGTGCCTGAAACTAAAAAAAATAAGAGTTTCTACAAGGATGACGTCAGCCAAAAAAAGGACTTTGGCCTGTTTGTTTTGCAATTGTTATTTTATACATTTAAAATATTATTTTGTAATGCTGATTTTAATATCTGTGTCGCTATAATTTAAATGATCCCCTTTTCAATTCAAATGCAGACAGTACTTTTGTTTTAATAAGAGTAAGTAATGAAAATTATGGAATCATGTAGCCTCTTATTGATTTACTAATAAGCACCAATGAAGCAAAATCATATTTAATTTTGATCAAATTCACTAGGCAATATTTTGCTTTCAGTTTACCATGAGTGAAGCGCAAAAGGAACTGCATCGACCGTTTTCGGCCTCTTCCTTCGGATTTCGTCACATGGAAGCATACAGCGGCATCCCCGCCCACATATTAAACCATCTGCAGCCCCAATTCCTCCATCCCGGATTGTCTCTGGGTTCCGGAGCCTTTAGACCCTTAGCCGACTTGAAATCTTTTCCTTCCCCTTCGGCCTTCACGTCCCCCAAGTGTTTGAAAATCGAAACCAGCAGCGAAAATATCCACCACGGGCACAACCACGGTAAGTCGTGCCACGTTAGCGATGCTCAGGGTGGGACTGGTTTAATTTTCAGGAATATTTTCGCCTGGTGAAGAAAGGATTTTGGGACCGAGTCCTAGAACGGATTCTTGTTCGCCGGCGAGTACATCCATGTCACCTCAGCCTCAAACGGCGGTAAAAGAAGAAAGTTTGGACGCTCAAATGTCGGAAGATGGAGAACATCACGGACAAGCAACCGATAACGATTCGCCTGGAATACACGAGGATAATAGAGGATTCCGCAGTAAGTGGTTATGGTCTGTTAATAGATATAAGAAAGTGACCAATTGCTTTTGAATGGGATTATCCAAGGATTGTCATTAACATATAATGCAACAAGATTATTTCCTAAAGTTTCAGAATTTAAATTCAGGTAAAATTGTGGTCCGTAATAGAAAATATTTTTATACCGATCTATGTTTAATATTCTTTGGTTTGGTATACTACTTAGTTTAAGTTTATTAGTAATCATTCTTATTTCGTGTGTAATACAGCGTGTTTTTCCCCGTGTTAACTCCAATGTCCTCAAATTCTGTTAAACATAAAGAAAAAGCAGAACAATCGTATATCCATATTGCAAATAATATAGAACAAATAATAATTAGAACAGGCTATGATAGCGATAGTGATTCTAATATATTATGTGAATAATTTTAAGTAGGTAATAAAAATAATTTGTAATTTTATTTTAGATTTAAACATAAATACATACATAAATAAACAAATATTGTTTAGTATCTTTCCTAATAAAACCCCAAATAAGTAAATTCTAAGCAAAGTACGGACTTGTTCAGCCATATTTCATTCTTACAGCTTGCCCGGGTCTTTCCTTAATTCGTATCAGTTAGTCACTTTCTTATATCTACGAACAGACTTTACCATATTAGAGGTTGCGCTTGCTATTTCCAAGGTTAAATTGTTTTACCCATCACTACGCAGACGATTCCCGAATACATCCTATTGTTTTTCTATCGTGCTCCAACGTACCACTATGGAACTTTCGCAAAATCGATGTAATTTGATTGTGTACACACCCTGTACAAAGCGTTTTTTACTTATCGCCGAATTTCAAAGTCGCGACAAACTTTGATAAAAATTAAAAATTGTACAAGTAATAACGATTTCCAATTATATTATTCCAAGTATCTCGCGCAGCCTATATGATAGGCCATACCTGAAACTCTCTCTCTCTCTCTCTGGAGACCGTTTAAACCAAATTATCCCATCTTTTATAGTTTTTCATTTACAGCTAATAATTTATTCATGAAAACGGCTATTTTCAGGGTCATTTAGATTTTTCTACCCGTAATTGTCAAATCCTGTACATGATTGAAAAAATTCTGCAAATGGAGGTTATAGCCCTGGATCCTTCACATTTCTTGGTCCAAGAATTTTTCCAAAATACTAAATGGTTTTCGAGAAAATAAGTTTTTTCTGAAACCATGTAGTGCGCCGTAATAATCAATGACGTCATCGCGTTTTGACTGAGCCCCCGAAATAGCGATTTTAATATGGATTTTTTCAAATATCCCGAGCAGCGTATGTGCTATATGCCTATAATTTAAAAATCCTGTATATAATTGAAAAAATGCTGCATGAAATAAATATTATTGCCCAGGAACTTCCGCGTCTGCTGGATAAAGAATTTTACGGATAGGGTGAAGGATTATGGAGAAAAACATATTTTTCTGCAAGTCAAATTTGCCAAAAAATCTGCCAAATATCTGCAAATTTGGGACACCTAACACATTTCTTACTTAGCACGGAATATCGGGAACACCCTATACAATAGGTGAAACCCTTAAATACAAAAGTTTTAGCTGTCTATGCGGGCTATATCGCAATGTAAATGAAAGTGAGATCTGAATCATTTTCCACAAAGAAAAACCAAAATAAGTAGCCAAGATAATGTTCAAATCTATTTAAATGGCACAATTATAAAGTCTGTTTTTGATAGTAATCATCACTTTGAAGGCAGTTAAAAGATGTATTTTTTGTAATCCAACCAACCAAAACAGCAATAAGTTTAACAGCACTTAGTTTACTAAAAGAGGCTATAGTACTATAGGCATCATTGCGGTTGTGCCTAAAGAAATTAGTTATAAATTATTATTATTATAATTAATTAATAAAACACTGTCAGGTTTTAGAAAGTAATTTAACCGATGCGGAGCCAAGTAAATTTTGGATAAAAAAGAAAGTCCAAGTATTAAAAATACTAAAAATAATTAAAAAAATGCAGAAAATTGTCCTCAGTTTATCTGCCTTCATGAAAACTTTTTGTGATAGTCTTAAAAATGAATTTTGTCAACCCCTGGTTAGCAAGTTCTAGCACTTTGTAATTTTAAATCTTTTGATTTACTTGAGTGTTTATTATTTATAAGACAGGTATTTTTAAATCCACGTACACACATAAAGTCAAAAACCGTAAGCGCAAAGGTAAGCAGAGAAGAAGACTGAGAATTATGTATCTATTATATTTATATGTTATTTATATTAATAGAAAAATGTGTAGCAAAGTATCACAAGAAGGTTAATAAGGAAAAAAGGAACAAAAGGCAAGCCATTCTTATTGAACTACGCGTAGCAAACAGTTACATAGTACCATAGAGTATAAATAGATTTCGAAGAAAGTTTATTGATATATCTGGACCCTAAACGTTCTTTATATCACTGCTATTGCAATATTTTAAAGAATTTACAAAGTTGACCATTTTTTATTTATGTAACTTTCTTTAAATGTTTCTAAAATTTATTAATTTTTTTGCTTTGATAACCACACATACCACCGGAATAATGACAATTAGAAACACGGGTACGGTTGAGGCAACAAGTCCAAAAATAAAATAAATATAGTAAATAATATATGAAATATTTTTGTCAACTAACAATGAAAATTAAAATATTTAAAGTAAAATCTTCCTTATTTTCTTTTTTATTGAATTAAGTGTATTAGGAATGATTTCTTTATAAAATAATCAAAACGAATATGTCACCCTATGCCCCCTATGTAACACTGTTAATAATCTATAACAGAAAAACTTTCGTAAGTATCCATACTATAATAATCTGAGAGTATTTATTTTTATTAAAAATGTCTAAATGGAAGGAAAGGCTTTTACCAGTGCCTACCGGCATTGACGGTCACGTGAACAAGATATAAAAAATGAGAATTCCCTGATTTTTACAGGTTTCCGCTGACTAAACTACAAAATAATAGAGAAAACAATATTTTTTTAAGATCAGAACAATTTTAGTCAAGTTGAGACACCAGTTCCAGGAATATCTTGTTGTGAGGGGCATTTCTTATGAAACTACAAAAATAATGAAAAACCCTACCGAACACTTTAAATTGAACGGCGTTCTCAGCAATTTTCCAAATTATAAATTCCTGGCCTTTAGTGTGAAGACGAAAAAATCCATGAATTTCCATTAAACCGCTGAAAACCCTGGTGTTTATTAATTCAATTCCAATACCTAAGATTGTGAGGTGAGGTGATTTTAAGAAGACAACTTAATATTAACATACGTCGGACACTGGGTATTTATGTGTTTCTGTTCATCATCGAAGTATTGGCAATCAATTAATAACTACCCTGTAGCAATCGGCATATAAAAGACAAATGATTTCTGTAATAACTGGTCTGTAAAACAAGTTAGTCATCTAAAATGCAACTAATTTCTTTGTAAATGCCACTTTTACAACGAAAATCTTCCAAGATGGGAAATTGTCTTCGATTATAATCGTATAATTCTGCAATAAATTTCGCTCAAAATTGATTTGGTGCTATAAGGGGGGGAGGGGTAGGCTAGAGAAACGATAGAAACCAATAAACCTTTAACGTTTTTAATTTCGATCGTCATTAATTGTGGGTGAGAATGATTTCTGCGCTACCGTTTTCTCTCTATCCCCCCGGAGAAATTGCAATTCATTCGAAATGAAACTAATATATCCTTCGTGAAGAACGCTGCTCGACCATAAAAATTCTGTTGCGAATATTTGCGTTCCGAGGTCTTCGGTAAGTCGGTTTTAATCAATAGCATGCAGCCCTTCACAGTTTTTTTCAAACGAAAGTTTTAAAATCTTTTGGTGACACTGTATTATAAAATTGCCTTGCAAATATTAAATTTCATTCAAAACTACGTTTTAAAAATCATAAACTGGTCTAGAAGGTTATCTCCAACTTATTGTACCGGGTAACAATGGGATTATTGACCACTGCACTCCAGCATTTCCTTCTCAAATCCACAGAAAATTAATAGATGGATTTAATTATTTCATCGATTAAACATGAACTACTGCTCTATATTATAAGATGATTATATAATATAATAATAATATATGTAAAATTAAGGTAATTTCTCGCATAAATACATTTTCATCAATATCGCACCAATCACACATTTTCATCAATATCGCACCAATCACTAAACCCATAAACAACAAAAATTGGAAGAGTTGAGAAAGTTGATGATTGAAATCATTTGAAGCAACACAAGGCTATAGTATTTTTTGCAATTCATTCAATATAAACGAGATTTCAGGTAAAGACAAATACTAATTACTAAAAAATTAAGATAAAACTATTAAAGTAACAGGTATTCCTTGAACCAAAATCAGGTCAAAAATTGAAATAAAATGAGAATATGTAGCAATAGCAACAAGCGAACGGATGATATCCCGGAATATAGTGTCATCATATATATATATATATATATATATATATAACAAAAAAAAACAATTATCTTCAGGTAATTAAAAAGTATATAGCCGAATATATATATATATATATATATATATATATATATATATATATATATATATATATATATATATATATATATATATATATATATATATATATATATATATATATATTTTTTTTTTTCACGTATTGATTCACGGATGGAAAAATGTGATGACACTATATTCCGGGATATCATCCGTTCGCTCGTTGAACTCCGACTGGAATCCTGCATCCGACTGGAATCCAGTGTTCGAAGTGTTTTCGGAGCGCGAGCATTGAAGATGCCAAGTGAGATTTTGGCGAAACGTCTGCAGGATTCCAGTCGGATGCAGGATTTGCAGGATATATATATATATATATATATATATATATATATATATATATATATATATATATATATATATATATATATATATATATATATATATATATATATATATATATATATATATATATATATATATATATATATATATATATATATATATATATATAT